TTGCCTATTTATAAACATCTTTCTGTGTGACGGCACTTTCCTTGATTCAAACATAGCTATATTAAGAGAAAAGGACACTGGGTGGAATTTGATCTCATCTTTCCTAATGAGCCATGAGCTGGTCAGTCAGAGTGGAGAAAGAGAAACAGAATGGTGTGGCTGAATGGGGAAGATGAGCAGAGAATAACCCTGAGTGAGAGTGGGAGATGGGAGTGTCACAGGGGACTTGGACAGGAGGTGGGTCAATGACAGGGAGATGGAAAGCAGATGAGGAGAAATACCACTGAAGGATTTATTGTATCTGATAGCAGCCTATCATGAAGCCTATATCATACATTTAGCAAGTGCTTAACACTGCATAAGAAAAAACGAAACAGACATGACTCTCGCGTGCTGGGCTGCCCCCTCAGCCCATCAGACCATAATGACTTCCAGGAGGTTGTCAGACAACATGCTCCCCGTAGGATTTTTCCCGTGCCGATGAAGATAAAGCACAAATTAACTAATGCATAAGTAGATTCAAGGTTCTGCCTGTATTTGGTACTAAATTCGGCTCTGGCTACAAATCTTTTCTGCTCTGGGGAAGAGATGCCCAATTTTAAGCATATGCTTTGCCATATGGGAAGCACCCCCACTTCTAAAATCACCCACAGCTTTGGGTCTTTTTCTGGCCTGGTACCTACAGCCCCATGCTCAAACAATGGGCAGTCCCTCTTCATCCTGTCACCTGCCTGTGTTCCACTCAGGACTGTCTTCTTTAACTTCAAGTCTGTCCTGGGGAAGCTGGGGAGGCTTCTACAGTGCATCGGCGATGCCTCAAGAACAAGAGCTTTCTCACTAATAGTTACTGGCTCGGGGAGACTAACACTTAGAAAGAAAGTTAATCACAGGAATTAAACACAGCTTGTTTCTTTTTGAAGTATATTTTTTTCCTGCCTCAAGGAGGGTGATTTACAGACACATTTGTCTCTCTTTAGAGAAAATTAATTCCAGTTGGTGTTCTGGGCAGAGATGAAGAGAAGAGAGAAGAGGCTTCTCCCTTGTCCTTCACACCTACAGCGGACCTCTCCCTGGTATGCCCTGCCAGTGGGGTGTGAGTGGGTCCTCACACATGTGGATGCACAGAAGACAAATCAACCAAACTTCCAATATCAGCTTCAAGGCTCCTTCATCTTTTAGGTAAAAACAAACGCTTTTTAAAAATGGTTTTGGCTGGGAATGAAGCACAGTGGTAGAGGGCTGGCTTATCATGCTCGAAGTCCTGAATTAGAGCTACACACACACACACACACACACACACACACACATACACACACACACACACACACACACACACACACACACATACACACACACAC